GCGATCCCGCTCGTCGCTGCGGGGCCGGGGCAGAGGGAGCGCCCGGGTGGGACGCGAATGGCGTCGGGACACGCGGAGACGCCGCGCGGCCGCTCGCGGTGCCGGGCCCCGCCCCTCCCCAGGGGAGTTTCGCCCCGGCCGGGCAAGCAGACGCCGCTCTGGGGCTCGGCACGACACGATCCCCCCGTGGGGCCACGGCTACCGCGAGGCGCGGGGCCAGCCGCGACCGCCGGCCCGAGAGGGCGGCTCTGCCACGCCTCGGTGCGCCCGGGGTCGGATTCGGGGCCGCAGCGCGAGGGGAGGCGGCGCGAGCAGCGGCTGCGATAGGGCGCCAGGGCCCCGCCCGGCGGCGGCCATCGGAGGGAGTGCGGCCAGCTAGGGCCGCGGCAGGCACGGGGGAGCCCGGGGCGGAAGGCCGTTCCCGAAGCAGAGCGATACCGGAGCAACAACCAAAGGCGTGGAGCGCGGGGTCGCGGGCGCAGAGATCCCGCCGCTCCGGCGGTTCTCTGCTACCTCGGCTGCGAGGAGCGGAGCCTCACGTGGGCGGAGCGCGCGCCGTAGCGGGGCGGAGAAGCGCTCCGCGGGGAAGCACCGAGGCGCACGCGGCACGCCAGGCGCGAGGCGGGGGGGAGGCGGCCGGGAGCGCGGGCAGCGCCGAGCCCGCCGTGTTGCGGGGCGGCCGTCATCGAGCCGTGCGGGACGAGCCGCGCCGTCTCGGCGGTACCGAGCGCTCGGGCTCCTCTTGGCGGGACGCGCTGCGGGTACGCTCCGACTGCGCTGAGAGAAGGTAAGGCCCGGCCTACTCCGAGCATCGTGGCGGCGCGGAGCGCGGGAGGGAGTGCGGCAGGATGAAGGATTTTTACTTCTCGGTTAGATTCACGTTGCTGTGAGGGGAGAGCTGCGCTCTGCGGGTGCCGGGCAAAAACACGGACGTTTGGTCGCGTTCCTCCTCCCGCCCCGCAGAGCCGTGCCGCTGCCGGCCACGTGCTGCGCTGCGCGGTGCCGTGCGCGTGGCGGCTCCGTTACCCGCAGCAGAAGGCGCTGGAGATTCCCGCCTTAACACCGCGCCGGGGCGAGCGGTGCTGGCCCAGTAGGGCTGTCGGCCCGCGCCCTTCCCGGTGCACGTGTCTCAGTGTGGCTGTGCAGGCCTTCCTCGCCCGGCCCGCGCCACGACGCCAGAGGCTGGGCTGGGACACGAGGGCCGGGACGGAGGGCGGGCGGTGAGGTGGAGCGGGGCGGGGGGAGGGAGGGATAGAAAGAGCAGCTGTGTGCTCACACTGTGCGCGGGGGTGAGAGGTTGCTTGTGGCCGCAGCGAGGTCTGGGCCAGGGTGGGGGTGGAACGACAAGATTTTTCAGTGATTTGTTTTCTTCCACTGCAACAGGGGAATTACCCCAGTCGAACTTGCCTTCTCTACCTGCTTTGAGTGATTATAGGTCGGGAGGCAGTTTTTGGAGCACCCTGCAGTAATTTCCCTGCTGACAGGGGGGCAGCGGGAGTTGCTTTGCTGTTAGGTGGAAGCAGGTGCTTCTCCACGCTGTGTGCTTGCCAAGTGTGACCCAGTTCAGAGGTGAAAACGATGAAAATTTAATTGAGTAAAAGGTTGTGGGACAGACCCACTCTTGGTGTAATAGATTATGCCAAAATAATTTTCCTTACATTGGTGTCCCTGGTTCTGGGCTTCTCTTCCTTCCCCAGTAATGAAATCCTCATTTATACAGGTGAAGTCGTGTACAAATGCACACCATGCATGGAAGTATCTGTGTTTGTGTGCTTTGCTGCGCCCTATCTGAAATATGGCATTTTAAAGCCACCACAACGCTTAATAATAGTTATTCCACAGGAAACTTCAGAAGAATGCAAATGTCTGTCCAGATAATTCTTGTAGTCCCTGCATCATTTGAGGTAGTCCTTGGTACCTCAGATGTTGACTGGATCTGAGAAGTCAGTCCTTACCCCAAAGGTGTTACAGTTTTGGTGGAAAATCAGCACGTGTTCGTAGTTTACTGAGCATGTCCAGAGTGGCCTGCTTCTCTGTAGGGGGCCTGATATAAAAAGCAACTCTTTGGAATAGGGATTTTTGTAAGACTAGCTCCACAGTCTGTTTTTTTCCTTGAGCTGGATAAAGGCAGCTTGTCCACAGCACACCGCCTGCCCGTGCTTTGCTGGAGGCTTGGTGACCTCGCCCTCTGTACAGGAGCAATGGGCTGGTGTCCTCAGGAGCGTGTGGCTGGGAGTCTGTAATTGGAAGGGAATCCTCACAAAAGGAAATCTGATTCATTTACTCTAAATATTTAACTGCAATTTTCTTACTTTAACACCATCCTATTTTACTGCACTATTGCATCTTGCCTCCAAAATTAATAGTTAACCACTGAGAAAGACAGGTCTGGCAGAATGGAAATCAGGCATTATATTATCCCATGAGTCATGTGCATACAGAGAACCAAACAAGTGTCAGCCAATGGCTTTGAGCCCAAAATATGTCAAAGAGGAGATGTGTATCTTCATTTATATTAAGTAGATAGAAAGCGTGTTGCTGTTCCCATTAAGCTGGTTGGAGCCCTGCCACTGGCTGCGGTGGGAACAGGATGGGCCCATGCAGCAGGAGCTGGCTCTGGCTACCTGCACTCACCGTAGTTTCTGTGCAGTAAGGGCAGCTTCTATTCTAACAGTTGTTCTTAGTTAGCAAGGAGTTTGGAGACCTGCCCTGGTCTAGATGTGATTCCTTTCTTTGTCAGGTGAATTGATTTCTCCTTTGAAGTATGAGGATGCACCATAGTGAGCAGCAGCACGGCCTTTCAGAGTGCAGAGTGCGGAGAGTGGGGAGAGAGTGACTGATGGGAGGATCAGCACAGCTCATTTCCTCAGCAGGGTTTTTGTGATTTGTGACTATTTACATTTTTGAAAGCTGTATTTAGCAATTGACCCTGCTTTATGCATTCAGACCACTTTATTTGGCAGAATTTCAGTGGAATCAGGGGAAGTCTTTACTGAGTAAATGTCTCCAAGATGTGACTTGTCCCTCAGGAAGAGGGGATGATACGAATAGCAGAGATACACCCCAACCAGGGACTGGGACATCAGGGCTGCTGCTGAGCCGCTGCTGGTCAGTGGGTATCACATGCCTGAGCTTTCACGTACAGCCATACGCTCATCTGTTGTGTACATGTTTTGTTTTTGTTGTGTTGTCATTGTATGTTAGGTCTTAATTCTCCTTTGTGGGGCAGAATTCAGTTTCATGTGGGGATTGGAGGCCTGGAAACGTATACTCACTGACTTCAGAATAATCATTTTCACATTTTTATTGATGTGCCAGTTCAGTTAAAATACTGTTGGTAAAGTTGGGCTGAAATGAGTATTTGTTGTTGACTCATAATTGTACAAATTAGGATTAAGCCTTCTCATAAAGTAGTATAAAATCTGGAAGTCTGTGTGCAAGTGCTGCTTGCTTTGTTCCAGTCAGCAGCCCTCCTCTGTTTACTGGAGCTCAGGCTCAGTACCAAAAAAATGGGACTGCTGGTGTTCTCATACAGGCATCCTCAGCAGATTTTGACCTGCAGTTGGTTACAGGATTGACTTGTTTGCAGTGAAACAGGTGAGGGGGGATTGCTTCTGTGTGCAGTGGAAGTAAGGTTTAGAGTCCCTAGTTTTGATTTTAAGAACGGGTTATTTGGCTCACTAAGTGAGGCAGGGATATAGCAAAAGTATTGGCAGTATTTATTTCAAAAAGTCATAGTGCAATTAACACATGAAAGCACCAAGTTTTTATTGTAAGTGGACATGTAGGTCATGTAAATACAGCTCTGGCTGTACTGCTTTTTGTTTACATTGTGGGCAACAACATTTGCAAATATCGCATCAAGAATTCTGAGCCGATACAACTAATTTAAAAACAGCCTTTGCTAAGGCAGATTCCAAGTGAATATTTCATGAGAGCTGTAACAATGTGTGGGTCGTTCCGTAATCTGTGGGTGCCATTTGTGCTTTTGGTTATCTTTCGTAATTTGATGGTTGAATGGCGTTGGAAATTGGAATTTTTACCTACCAGTAACGTAACTAGCTTTTTAATGCTTGTTTGTGTGTGAACGATTTCCTTAAAATTATAAACAGTGACAGAAGTTTGGTGATCTTGTTGGTGTAGGCAGTGCTATGCAGGAGCTGGGCATGTCTGCAGTGCTCCGTCTGTGACCTGAGTTAGCCCTGCAAGAGCTCATGGGCCATGCTGAGGGTTTTTGTATGCTTTTTGCAGCAGGTGATGTTTGCTCTTCTCTTTCTGCAGCTGTAGGAAAAAAATCAAATAATGAGAATGTTTTAGGGCTCATGTGAGCAGTAGGTATTTTGGTATCTGTGTTCCCTGCTTGTCACTGAGGGTGTTCCTTGAAGGCTTGCACGCTGCAGTGCCGGACGCCTTCCCTGTGGATTGCAGTTGTCCTCTCATGCCGTCACTGCGTTACTGAGGGAGCGCTCCCTGGGCGTGCTGCTGCTGGGGAGGAGCTCTTGGTGCTCTTGGTGCTGCTGGCTCTGTGGGCCGTGGTGGGACTGAGGTGGGAGCTGTGCTGCCGGCTCTGGCCTGCGACCTGCAGTGCTCAGAAGAAAATGGGATATACCGAGGGGAGGTTACAAAAGAGAAAAGGCAGACAGCAGCTGTTGAGGTGTAGGGGCGAGAAGATTCAGAGTTGATGCTGCTGGCAGCAGGCCTAGCTGGAGTGGGAGCAAGGCTCCAAAGGAGGGGATCCAGGCCAGGGGACAGCCAGAGGTACGACAGCTTCTGTTTGAAGACCCAACACTTGCATAGCGCTCCAGCCAGAGCCTGATGGGTGCAGTGTGATGGCAGGCAGGCAGTAGGCATGCTGAGGTTGCTATTTTGTTAGCTTTCATGCTATATAACATCATCTGTTTATTTAGAAAAGCGTGTTTTTCGCCCCAGTTGGAGTCATTTCCCGTGAAAAGCAAAGCTCTCTTGCTGGGAGGACTGCTGGGTTCTGTGAAACACTAGAGTCACCCACATACCTCCCAGAATGCCAGTGTGATAGGAGAGCAGGGCAAGGATACAGTTCATGTCTGGACTGTGTGCACATCCTGAGCAGGTGTTTGTGATGTCCAGTGTGGGCTGTACCCCCACCAATATGTGCAGCTGCTGGCACGTACCACCAAAGTGTGGCACATCAGCTTTTATAGACAATTTGTTAGTTGGAGTTGAAAATGCAAAGCTACTTCTGATCTTAGGGTAGCAAACTTGCCCTGTAAGCAACTTTCTAGATTTCACGTATGACTGCATTAGTAGAGTCTATAATCTGTTGGCAGTTACGGCTGCTAGAGCTTTGCAATTTCGTTAATTTTATGTGCTAATAAATGGCTCATGGGCAGCTCGCTCTTACCAACCAAGGGCACTAGTACTGACTAAAGAATCAGGAGACTTAATGAAAGAGAATGAAATGTGGAGATCTTTTTGTTCAGCTTCATCTTTTGCTCTTCTAGCTTAGTGCACTTGAGTGAGGTTTTCAAGTTTTTCATTATGTTCGTGCTTTTTAGTAAAAACATACTGATTCTCATCAGGCTGGGGGGACATCGTTTGCCTTGAGAACTGTAGTCAGGTTGTAAGTTGTCGATACTGCTGCGTGTCATCCTGCTAGCAGGGCTGAGCTGATGGCTGTGAATTGGGCAGCACGCATCTCGGTGCAGTGCTGCGGATACCCCGGGGCTCCAGCCTCCAGCTGGTCAGCATCACACAATTGCTACTAGTGGGTGGTGAGAAACACCTGTGAGGGGAGCACTCTCATCCCAGGTGTGCCGGGTGCTGGCAGGCAGGGGCTGGTTGTGTGTGCCAGGCACCAAACAGTAACAGAGGGCAACAAGCCCAGGCTACCTTAACTGCAAACGAGTGACTCAGCTGTTTCTGCAAAGTTTGGAGTTTCAGCAGAATATTTCTTTTTCCGCTATGCTGACAGCTTTTCCACCCACGTATTGCAAACGTGGCTTTGTGCCATGGAGGTATTTTAGGATTATAAAGCATAGTGTAAATTTTTAGAGTTACATATGAAAAAAGGTGCCTTCTGGATCTCAAAATATGTAGGTTGTATGTAGACTGGGGGAGTAGGGGAGCTCTTTCTAAACCCTAAGGCTTGGAGGAGATAGATCCCCATCTGTCAATCATCCGTTTTTATTTATTCCACTGAAAACCAGGCAGTGTGTTCAGACGTCCTGTATCTACAGAAATAGAATGCTCTGAAATCCCCCAGAGTTTTGGCAGAGCTTTTATTGTGGGCAGTTACTCATTCACACACCTGGTACGTACTGTTGGTCCTGTTATTGTAAGGCATTCCCAAACAGTCCTGCAGGGAAAATAAACTGCAGAGAGATATACAGGAAATTAACCATAATAAAACGCAAAAGGTTTCTTAATCTGTCAAGTGTATTGCAGTATTCAGTGAGTTACTGTACTCATCTGAAGATGAAATTGGATGGAGTATGTCTGTGATGTTACTGCAGCTCATTGAGACACATGCAGATACAGCCAGTGTACTCTAAGCCGGTCCTTTGCCTGTCCTTGCTGTGAGGCTGTGCTCCTTGCTGTCAGTCTGGGACCTCTGCGTGGATCAGGCATGGCAGGACTGACTTTGGGGGAGGACAGCCAGGAGCTGGGGTCGTGCTCGGTCATTTCTGTGCTCAGGCAGCCAGCTGTGGAATCCAAAGGTTTGCTCTGTTGTCACAAATTTTTTATGCCACAAATGCTGATGAGGCAGCAAAAGCCGCTATCAAGGGCCTCACCACATCATGGGAATGGAGAAGAGAAAGAGCAGAAATCCAGCGAAGTGCTGTTAGTGACCAGTAACCGCCAGGGCATGGCAGATGGCTCTTGTGAAGCTGGCAAGGCCACGGCTTCTCTAGACTCTCTGTCAGCTGGAGGGGCAGTAATTCATCGGTGATGTCTGCAGCAGTCCTCAGCTCGCTTTACTTGTTGGATTTTGGGGTTTGGGTCTCTGTTTTGTTTTGGTCTATTATGAAGTTACTTCCAAAGAAAAGATATAATAGAATATGACAGCATGTATATTAAGCATAAAAGCATTATGTTCCTCTGGGAGCTGTTGGAGGAGAAGCAGCCGAGCCACTGAAATGCAACCCCACCACTGCCATGAGTGCCTGTCGGCAGGTCACATCTCTGCGGTCATGCTGGGTGGGTCTTGGGGAACCAAAGGGACAAGTGACTTTTGTCCCTGGCCAGCAGGAAGCCACCAGGCACAGAGACAAGCTCTCCCTGTTTCACCCTCAGGCTGCCAGCGGGCCAGGAAACAAGTCCTCCCAGCACCTCGCGCTGCGTGCTGTCACGCTGTCCACGTCACAACAGGGCAGCCTGGCTCCACCACTGCTCCTTCAGGGTCACAAGGAAGGGAAACAGTCCTGCTCCATTGCTGGAGCACTGGCTTGGCAGCCTTTATCCATAGGCTGAGAATGGGGATTCGTGAGCCTGAAATTCAAAGTGAGACTAGTGGATGTGAGTGCCATGGGAACCAGAGCAAGCTGGAGGTTTACACGGATCCCCGCAGGGTTAGGGCTGCTGAGTTTCATATGGTGCTAGAAAAAAACAGTGTCTCTGGAATAAAAATCTGTCTGTGTCTCGAGGCAGCTGTGGGCACCTCCAGCCAGCACCTGATTCACTCGCGAACAGTTACCTGCGAGGCATCTCAGCTGGCAGACACTTGTCCGAGGCGCCGGAGGCTGCATGGGCTGTTTTCAGTTTAATCTATTTTTAATGTGGCGCCTTATTCCAAACTGCTGAGTTCTCACATTTCCAAGCCGTCGTGGTAATAGGATTGTGCAGCCTTATTGGCTACAGTTTTCCACCCCCAGTGCCAAAAGTTAGGCTCCTAAATCCATATTTAAATGCCTAAATGAGGCTGACGAATCCTGCAGGAGTCAGTAGGAACTGGACGTGGTCTGCACCTTGGAAAATAACCAGGCTATTGGGTGTGTGAGCAACGCCTTGCTGTAGGCACCCAGATGTTGTGTTTTTATCCAGAATGGCTGTGTGTGTCATTGTGAAGGGGGGAGGTGAGATTAGTGCAAACAGGAGCTTTGTTGGGAATTTGGAAATGGGATACACTGAGAATCATAGCAGGTGCCCATCTCTTGTGTTGGCTTCATGTCTGCACTACTTCCGTACCCACGATCTAGCACTGCATATTTTTACTCTGCTACCTTCTTCTGCTATTTCTATTTGTAGCACCCTGCTAGACTTGTTTCCAAGCCAATCCAAAATTCTTCTGAAACTCCCTTTGCTAACAGCAGCATGAAAGCAGAACTCCACAGTGGCTGCAGCAATGGCAGGGGTTTGCTTTTAGCTGAGTGGTATTGGTCACTTCAGCCTTTTGAGTTGAACTGAGAATGGCAATGCTATCTGCCAAGAGAAGCAGCTTGTAAAAGTTGTATGATGTTGCTTTTTTCATGGCAGACCTGAAAAATTCTGTACATGAAACTTCCAGCCAACGCTTGAAATACATTTCTCTGATTGCTTTGTGTGAAAGGCTTGTTTTCGTGTTAGTACTGCAGGGTAACACATAAGACCATGGAAGTACAATGCGCCTTCATCCAGATGAGGCAGAATTTATTTAGCTTGAAAGAGTGTTTTATTGCAGTATGGAAGTGTCACTTCAGGTTTTTATCCTGTTTTCTATAGAGGAGGAATAAACTGTTTCCAGAGTCTCACCAGAAGATAAAATTCCCGTGGCTAGTCAATGGCAATGTGCTGGAGACTTGGAAAGCTTCAGCAAACCACATCCTTTCACCCAGAGAGCATGGATAGAGCGGAGGAACCTCGTTCTGGTGGCTTTGGGTACCCCATTACCCTGACCCATCATAGTGCTAGCTGACTGCTGGCCCAGGAGCACCAGGGATGTGAGCACTGGGCGCAGTGCTGTGCAGCCTTAAGAGCCACACCCTGAAGCCAAGAGCAGAGCTGATGTGCTGAGGCTTCCCAAACAGTGTTTGATGTCTAGAGGACACCCTGAAAATGCAGCTGTTTCTGCAGTCTCCTTCCATTCTCAGTTCCCTTGCCATCTCATCTGAAAACAGAAACTTCATGCATGCTTCATGCTTGTGTCCTCTGAGGGCTTCAAGGGTCTCCCCGGGACAGAGCCAGCAATCCTGCTGAAATAAGAGAGTGCTACTCCCTCCTTCTGGCTGGTATCAGTCTTCTAAGTCACTATCATTTATTTTAGAGCATTCACTGGGGAAGTGAGTGACCTGAGTTCAGTGCGTTCCTCAATCTGCTCATCTCTCACTTCCCATGAGACGGTCTAAAAGCCAGCCCCCAGTTATTCTGGGTGAAATCCTTTGGCATGAAACCATGCCTCCCAGTAATGGGGTGTTTCTGCTTCCTGTCCCACTGTTGGTCAGCAGGTTGTTTCAGAGTGAAGTGATCAGGGTTTCGTGTTGTGAGGAACCCAGGGTACAGTTGTCTCACTGGAAGCTGGATTGCTAGACCCCACTCCTCTGGGCATTCAGAGAAGACATCCCTCTGTCTCTGTGTGCCTGTGAATGAGAATGGAAGAATGCAGCTCCTTGGAGATGCTGTGCTGGGCTGGTGGGGGAGCAGAAAGTTTGCATGTGAATCAGAGATAGACCAGAGAGTGCAGGTGACTGAGGGGGAGGGACCTTGCTGAAATTGGAATTCGGTTCCTAAGTCAGGTTTATGAACCGTCCAGTTTTAGGTATTTGATTGGTGGTAACTCCTTGAAGCTTGTCTATGCTTTTGGATCTGCATCCAGGGATCTTAGTGGATTAGCCAGGATCTCTACTGCTGCTCTGATAAACGTTTCCAGCGTTTATTAAATGTGCTCTCTGACGTTCTTTTGTGGAGACAGTAATTTGACAGTCATCACGTGAGAAACTCTGAATTTGCCATCTGGCCTGGCAGGACTTAGTTCTTCTCACCATTAATTAAACTGACGTTACTGCACGCTTTTATGATGGTGGTTATGATCTGTCCTGCGATAACACCAGGGCTGGTTCTGAGGCATGCACAGCACCTTCCACTCGCATGACGTTTGTGGGTGGTGCAGCCGAGCACCTCTGGACTTCAGTGTCAGCTCTAATAACTGAGTTTCAGGGCCCCACTCAGGCACCTTCCTCTGGAGCGGGTTCTTCTGGTTCTGAGGGGATGGTTTCACAAGTAGGAAGACATAGCTGGGGGGAAAAAGGGGGCAGCTGCTTGGCTGTAATAGAGTTCTATAACATGCCCTGACAGGAGACCTTACTGACCACAGCTTCGCCCTGCTTGGTGAGACCGTGACCATTAATGGGAAAGTGGATTGGCAGCAACAGATAGAGCAGGGAGCAAAAAGAGAGGAAGGAAGTGAAATAGGACAACAGCCGAAGACAGCTGCGAAAAGCAGGCAGGTACATCATGGTGGCGACTGGAGTGTGGAAGAAGGAAACTAAGCTTCTTTGGTGATGAGGCAAGGTGTCTGTATCCTATCTGAAATGGACACGTGTGGCGGTGCCCAGCAACTTAACATGTTTGTAATCCCCCTTCAGACCCAGCTCCAGGTGCTGGATGGCAGAGTGTTTCCTGTCTTCGGTGGTCTCCAAACTGTGACTTGGCAAATGAAACTGGTAGGTTTGAAAAGAATGCCGGAGTACGAGGCTTGGGAGAAGTCATTCCCAGAACTAACTCTTGCCATTTTTCTCTTCCCTGTCAGAGCCTTGAATGCTCAACTGCTCAGAGTTAACTCAGCAGCTTCAAGAGATTCAATAATATTTGTTTTTACCCAAATCCCTCGAAGTCTGAGGGAATGGAGACAGAATCATTTTACTGAGATGAAAAGCCAAGAAAAGTAAATCATCCTTGGGTCAGGGTGAGCTCTCATTTGAAGAGGCCACAGATGGCAGAGATGTTCATGAATCAGCAGTTTCACAGACCTCTGCCCATTCAGGGAGTAATGCGTGTAAACAAACATGAAAATGGCACAGAGCCGCAGAGCTTTCCAGATCCTTCCTGTTCCCTCCATGCAGTCGAGGGGGCCCTCCTCAGAAGAACCAGATAGAAGAAAAGAGCTGCTGCCCTTGACTGTGGGCTTGTCCCAGGATGGTCATCCTATACCTGCTTCAGCTGTGTGAGAGCCAAAGGCTAGAGTGACAGCGGGGTGTCCCCTCTTCTCCCATAGTGCAGCCAGGTATGCTCTTGAGGACAGGAGGCAGCTGCTGACTGGCCTGGTGGCAGGCGTTTGGAGTTATCTGAGATGGAGGGAAGGAAGGAGAGGTGAGGTGAGGACGTGAGCTATTTCACCATTGCACTGCTGCAGGTGCAGGACAGCTCCTGTACATGTGGGCTTTGGGAGGTGGGCCTGCCCCTGGTGTGCTCCTGCTCTTTGATATGTGCCCTGGATCCACGCGCCGACGAGGCTGGGACCTTGGAAGCCCCACAGAGCTCTAGCCTGTCTGGTGTTAGGGACATTCTTCCCGCAATTATCTGATGTTTGTCAAATGTTGTGCCAGAAAATGCAACTAGAGGGCTGTGCTGAGAGCCCCCACTTTGGTTGTATTCTAGGGCCTGCTGGCCAAGAGATGCAGTGCTACTTCCATGCTGCCCAAGTGTCAGCCCGGGTAGTGCTTCTACAAGAAGATAACATGTAAGTGATGAGAACTGGCCAAGTCAGTGACTGTGCCTGAATCGTAGTTGAGACTTTGTCATGGTTTGAACCATGACAAGCTTTTTGTGAATAGTCTGTTTGGGATGAAACACAGCCTGAATCTTCAAACAGTTATGTGTGATGACAGCTGTGAGACTTCTGTTGAAGTCGCTAGGCATCACACAACCATAAACTTCGGAGTGTGCTTCTGCTGAGGAGATGCTGCTACTGAGGCTCTGAGACGAAGGGAAGTGAGAGGAAAATGGACTCTGCCGTTCTCCCAGGAGCAGCACCTCACGACGCGCCAAACCTAGCAATTGTATGTGAGGAGCAATCAGTGGGTGTCACAGGAGATGTACAGGGACATCTAAGGCATTGGGATTTATTATCAGTAAACCATGTACTTCAAGTTCACTGTGAAGTTGGAGAACATCTAACTGTGTAAATGATCTGAGGGAATTGGATGAAGTGAATTTTGTGACTGTGAAGTTAGACAATTATCAGCCATGTTTCCAGACAATAGAGAAGATCCTGACAAAGACATTTCCTGAGAAGTAACTAACTCATATAGTAATGAATAGTCAAGAAAGCAGCTGTTTTTAAAAAACATACATCCACCAAATGATTACGGGTTGGTATGCTTAAGGAGTGAAGAAATGTGCAAATTTTTTGGTGTTGCTCTTCTAAGGGTTTCTTGTGCTGGTGTCCAGACTCTGGCAACATTATCTTAACCTACTTTGACTGTCAGTGGTAGAAGGTAGTAGCTGGGGGTGGCCGAGTGCGCAGTGAGAACTGGCACTGCGCAGTGACAGAGCAGACGTGCTGGGGGTGGCTGTGATCTGGGACCCAGCTGGGGGCAAGCGCCTGGAAGAGGATGTTTCTGACTGGTGCTACCTAGAGAAAAAGCAGCCTGCTGATGAGATCACCTTAGGGCATCAGGGTTTAGAAAGGGGTAGAAGAATGTGGGACAGAAATGAGCAGTACAGAGCAATGACATGCTTGATGAGAAGCCAGCCTTACTGAGTGAGCACAGTCACAGAATGAAAAGCTGCCCATTGGGCAGATACCAGTGATCATAGCATAAGCAGGAAAATGGCATCAATCTAGACACAGTGCTTTTTGTGACTCTTAAGGCATTGATGGATGAAGACTCAGTGAAGAGAAGCTTCCTTTTTCTTATGTTTTGACATCTTTCAGGCTTAAACATGAACTAACTACCATTATCCTAATTTTACAGATGGGGACAGACAGGTTATGTGACATGCTCCAGGTCACATGAGCAGTGTGTGTCAGAGTGAGAAACAGCACCTGGATCTCTCAATTGTGAAGCTGTTGCTCTTGGCGCTGCGTCATCCCGACTGCAAACAAAACACTGAGGTTGACTTTGCCTGTGTCCTTATGCCTACAAATGGTAAGGTTTTTGAACAAATCAAAGAAAGCAAAAAGAGTCACTCCTCCAATTTGTATGTCCAGTCCTCTCTATGCAGTGGCATGATGTACCCTAGAGGAGCCTGTAATTAATACAAGTAATTATCCCTTGCTGCAAAGACTCTGCAACATCATTGGTTAAGAATCTAGATGAAACTTTCACCTTGTTTACTGAGTGCTTCATGTTGTGTGATTCAAGGTGGATTGGGATGATATCTGCAGGAAAAATTAACTTAGAACCAAGATGAACACTGCAAATGTCTTGGTGCCATTGTCTTGACTTGGCCACCACTAGAGCTTTAATAGAAATGGAGAGAAGGCAGGGAAATGATTAGGTAGGAAACAGAGTTACCTGTTGCAAAGGAGTGCTTGTCACAGTTTGCCTTCTTCACTCAAGAAGTTTTAATATAAAAGGATTGGATGCCGATGGCTTGTTGGCGTAAGAACACGTGTAGGTTCTAGGCGTGTTCTTGGTCTTCAACTACACTGAAGATCGTCAGGTCTGGAATTTTCCAAAGAGCCCAAGGGATCATTATTCCTAATGCAAAAGATGCCTGGAGAACATCCCAGACTAAGGCCAAGTCTCAATGGCGGAACTATCCTTTGGATTCCAGTTCCCAAACCTGCTACTGCTCCAGATACGTACTGTGGGCTTCTGCTTTTAACCTGGTAGTGTTGCCAGAGGCACTGGGCACCTAACATTTCATGACACCAAAGAAACACTCATTAATTGAAACTCATCAGGCAAACAGCTGCTTCTGCTTGCTGTGGCTCTATTTTCAGCTCTTAGCTCTGAAGTGAAGCTGACAATTTTTGCTGGTTTCTCAGACCTCCTATTGAGTTTTTCTAATTAATATTTTTGAACTACTTAGATGTTCTCAAGTCTACGGTGATCCAGAGAATTATTATTACTGCTGGTATTATTAAGGCTAATAATGCTGCTAATAACCTTAGTGAGCTTGGCAGAATTCAGTTTGAACTCCTTGCCGCAGATGAAGAAAGCTAACTTTGGTAATGTGAGGGGTACGTGACTGAGTTACCAGTACCTGCTGTTTACAGGGGGCAGGAGGAGTATATTTGCTCAAATGAAAAAGGTCAAGGCAGAGGCCCATTTGCTGTTTGTTAATAAGTAATCTGAAGTACAACACAGCTTTACTGTAACAAATCGGCTTAGCTTAGCTGTCCTTCCATCACCATTATATCCAACACAATTCTAGATGAAAATGCCAGTTTAGAAATAATCCATGTTCTCACAGATTATTTTCAACATCTGTGCAGAGGATTTGTAGCTGGGGATCCGCAGCAGCAGCAGCAAAAGAACCTTCCATATTTTGCCAGTGCTTGCCTCAGAAACTGAGCAAAGGATGAAATACTAGATAGAGTGTGATTTGTCTCCTGGGCAATTCTCCCCTAGACTCAATCAGACCTGTGCATCTTCCCTACAGAAGTATGCCAGTCCAGAGCTGTGGTGGTAGCTGGCCCGCTTACTGCACCCTGTGGAGGTGCTCATGTAACCTACAAAACCACCTATGTCATCTCAGAGCCTGGCCCATAGTCAACAGTTAAAATTCAGTCATGGGTGTCTGAGAGTATCCTTCCAAGGGACTGAGCATATGTGCATTGCAACCTCTGCCTTTCATGGGCTTTTGTGAAAAAAGATGGTTGTTGTCCAAGCGACAGTTGTCCTGATGATTTCCCAAAATACCAAGTGGTATGGTGGCTGGGTTCTGTCCTTTGTGGTTCACTTACTGAGCGCAGGCAGGATTCATTAGAAAATGTTTTCCTATTCATGAGACACTTGAAGTGCTTATCAAAAAAAAGCAACATTTGTGCCAGCTGCCAGCTAACCACAGATTCTGATTTGTAACTCTTAATGTTCGTGTCCTTCAGCTGCACCAGCCTGAGGCACCTTAGATGTCACACAGCTATTCCCTGGAGTAGAGCTTGTGATGTGCACACTGCAAGAGCAGGCACCACCAACACACAGGCAGCATGGCAGTCGCCACACACCCACAGCACAGGTTTGTGAGGGGCTTTGCCACGTACAGAGGTATTTCTTGAAGGAAGGTAGTTGGGGTGCACACACGAGTGCACATACTCATGAGATCACCTTTGGAAACAGGAACCACGCAGATTGCAAACTGCAATTTCTGGCTTCCTGAAATGTGATTTCAGGAGGCAGTGATCCTTTAACAGATCAACAGCCCGGTTCCAAATGCCTGTTAACCGAGGTGGGAGGGAACGAGCTTGGTGAGGGAAGACTTTCTCTACTGAGCAGGTCACATCTGGCTGTGAGCTCAGCATCTGTCCGATACCAGAGCCGTACCAAAGTCGTCTTCAGCTCCTGGGCTTGCCTCACAGGAGGCAGTGGCAGAGGAGTGGTGAGGAGGGGCTCTGCAGAGTCATTTGCTGTCTGGCAGTGAGCAGAGGACTGAGGCTGTGTAGCAACTGTGGAAGTGAGGAAGATGAGGAGCGTACAGGGAAGAACACTTGGGAGATTGTAGGGTCTTTGTAGCAGGATGGAAAAAGGATTTCTGCAACTTGAGTGTTCACATACATCGGGAGACAGGGCCAGTGGCTGTTGGCTGCCAGGAAAGGGGTATTTTGGATGCCCCTTCTGTATGCCCGACTGTTCTGAGATACTGAGAAAAGGGAAGGAAGAAGGGGAGAACACACATTGCCCAGGAAGCTGGCATGGCTGGTGCTGCCCTGTGTCTCTGTACCTGTGTGACTGGCTGCAGCTGAATGGTTGGCAAATACTACAGTTAACAGAGATTCTTGAATTGATCCGATGTGCTGAGGATGTTTATCCCAGAACACCTGGCGTGGGCAGCAGGGATTGTAATGGTGGAATTGATACCTACTTCTGTGAAGTCTGGTTGAGCTGAGAATCTGAGCAAATACCTTCCAGCTAAAGCAAGGCTACGAGGAAGGTGGCATGAAGTCCTAGATCTCGTGCTGCAACACTGCTCTGAAGGAACATGTGGCCATGCTGTATGTCACATGTCCTGGCAGGGAGAGCAGCAAGAATTACTAACTGGCAGCCCTTACAGAATGGTGATGCCACATGAAAATACACGTGTTCATTACTCATGAGATACATATTTGTTGCCCATCCCCACCTTCCCACAGAATTATACACCGAGGGTTGTAAAGCTTTCTGTGCCTGTCCCTGGATGTGTTGCTGTTTCCTCTTGCTGCTCTTTGTTTGGGGTAACATCTGTTGTTTCTGTTGTAGTGAGTTTCAGGAGTCATTAGCAACAGTGATACACTGCACTATTCCTCCAAAGACCAGTCAGGATTTGCTTCTTCCCCTAATACCAATAGGAAAGCTAGTGTATTTGGTACCTGAAGTAATGTGATTAGCTAGAAAACGTTAAGTATTCCCTGAACCTAATCCTGAGCATTAGTTACCAACCCCCATCAGTCTTTATGATATCACAGTGGTGAATTTCTGGATTATGCAGTCTTTCATGGACGCATGGGTGCACAATGGAAAGCAAGCTTAGTGCTGCAAACAGCACTGCAGTCACACTCTGTTCTAACCAGCAGCCAGCCACGATGCCTGGGAAATTGTGCAGGTGGTTTCAGAAAATGGTAAGTAGTCTATTATCATTGAGAAGGAGGGGAAAAAAACAACAATCCTTGGGAGATTTCCCCCATGACCATCTGTTAATTTTCTCCTGAAGCCATTAGTGATTTCCATAGAATAGTGTGTTTAGTGCCCTGCAAACAGTGCAGTGGATCAGAGTACTGCATCGCTGCTGCTGGACCATGCAGCCTTCCTTGTCAGGAATTAGCACACCAACATGCTTCCTCAGCATGCACCTCAGCACTTCACATGCCTGGCAGTCATCAGCCTTAGTTCTCCAATAAGCCCTGGGCTTTGTTGCACTTCTGACAGGGGAGCACCCTTCATTCACCTGCCAGCCTTCTTCCATGCAGCTCCTGTAGCCTTTTCTGTCCTAACACAGGCCTTGCTCAAAAGCTACCATATCTGCATTCATTTAGAAGTGCTCAGATGCTTAGCTACAGCCCCAGGTCACTGTAGTATTTCATGCTGTCTTAGAGATGAATGCTGAAAATGCTCATTGTCTGCAGTCCTCTTTACACTTGTATTTTGACCAATAGACACATGCTGCACAGTAAAAATAACCACCAACCTGTATGACAACTGTCAGCACGCTGTGTGTGTCCTGCAGCATCCATAGGCTCTGTAGCTAATGGTGGTTCTGGGGCCGGACCCAGCAGGGAAAGCATCTCTACCTCTGCCTTGTGCCAAGCTGTGGAGAACATGAGATTGTTAGAGCAGTAGTCATACAGCATGGCTGGCAGCTGCTTCTGCTTTTAGCTGGGAGTTTCTGGTGTTGCCCAGGGTAGGGAATGCAGGGACAATCCAAAGGTGAGTGGTAGTGGAAACCCAGTGGATTAGTTTGGACCAAATTACACAGTTGAGAAGAGTTTTCAAAGCTATCTCTTTCTTTCCATGTTCTTCTGTGATACCAGAAGATGTTGCCACCAGATCATGCCCTGGGGACAATGTGAACAGCTCTGTTCTTTATGCTGGTACCTGAGAGCAATTGCTAGAAGTAACTTGGCTCTTCCCTATGTTTCATGTGTGTGTGCTTGGTGTGCTGAGTGATTTCCAAAGGAACTTTCTGAGCACTGAAGCAAATGGGGAAACTGGCTGTGAAGCCGTTGCTGCAGTAAGTGAAACTTAGGAGCAGCTTTTGCTTTCTGTGCAAGATAGGGTGTTTTCCAGGCATTTTTTGTGCATTTCGTGTGATGTTTCTTCAAAGAAATGTTACCATTTGTGCATTTTTACAGTAAGTAGTTCTTGAAAAATTGTTTCTTGGTGCAATGCAAATGGGCACAGAGAGCATTTTGCTATTTAACAATTACCTGAATACAGTTCTTTGCTTTTTGGAAGAAGCCAAGCTTTTTCCCTCCTCCTAAATTAAAAGACATGACAAAGTGTGTCAGGGAAAGAGCCTTACCCAGGAGGGAGTTAGTGCAGTGCTGGGGTAAGTAGGACTTGCTTCTGCAATAGCAGCAGTACAGATTTTCTCAATGGTGTTTATGCCTTACCACATGCTACCTCACCAACCTCCTCATTTGTTGTTCCGAGACCTGAGTGCCCAGGCTGAGTAACTTCCTGGTGTAACTGTTTGCAGATAGAGACTTTTGAAGTTATACCCAGGAGTGCTTTGATGTCTCATTATTAAGCTTTTTGCTTTCTGACTTGTAGTGCCCACCTGCCAGCTTTAGAGCCAGCAGTCCACACCATGTAGCCAAGGCAAGCCTGATGCTTCTGCACAACATCCAAAACTGTCAGTGTTGGGACCAGAGAGACTAATAGGAAAATTTAAGCTTTTTAAGTCTGCAGACACCCCAGCACAACAGCTCCTCTGGAAGGTGAGTACAGACAGCCTTTCTGTCTCAGCAAATATATTTAATCTGAAACATCGATTGCTGGCAGCCAGGAAGTGACAAACTGGGTTGCTGTTGTCCTTGGGGTCGTTGTTCCCACCTTCCATCTCTTGCAGAGCATCCAGACGACGGAGCGGGGAGCTAGGCACTGCTTGCTTGCACTCAGCAGCGTGCTGTTGAATCACTGGGCCACAAAGCAAGTGCATGCGAGGGAGCGTGGCTGCCTTTCCTACTGGTTTGAGCATTCACATGGGAGTTTGAGAGTCCGGATTCTGCTCCCAGGACTGTTTATGCATTTTACGTGGAACAGTCACTGGGTAACATATAATCCCCAATCAAAGCCCTCAGGGGGTTCAGGCAAAGCAACGCCCAGTTTCTGGATCCTGATCAGAGTTAGGTGTGAAATGGGCTGAGCTGCTTGGCCCTGTCAAGACTGGGGCAGTTCTGGGCATGCATGAAGGTGGAACTCTAGATAGCTGAAGAACTTGAGAGTATTAAAAAAAAGCTGGAGATTGAAAGGGACAGACAGTGGGAAGAATCTGGGAGCTGCAGTGGGCTGTCCCCACTGTGGGCATTTCAAAGTGCAGATCTAGGATAAAGCCTCATGTGCTGCAATGATGAAGCCCTCTTACAGGGAAACAATTGTTCTCACAGATTTCTGAAGTAGAAACTTATTTACATAACCATTTTTTTTAATGTCCTGTCCTAGTCACTACATTTGCTTAGATTTCTTTCCACTAGGCTGCATGTGCTGAGCTGCACAATGGTGGCTGCCATATGAATAGCTTGTTATTCTTACCAAGCGTGACAACTGCTGTAGCAAAATCAAGAGCAACCTGCTCTAATGTAAACTGATTTCAGATTGCCCCTGGCAGTCCCAGCTACCTCATCTAACCTCTTTTTTTGCCAGTTTTTTTTCTTCCTTTTTTTTTTTTTTTTTTTGACTTCTCCCCACTGAAGACACACCCAGTGCTTTCTTGTAAGGTGTTTTATCACACTAGCTTTTCCACCAGCATCCACAACACACGGAGAAACTTCTCTGGTATTGCCCTTGATATGTCTGAAGCCGCTTGGATTCTCCAGCAGATGCAGAATGCAGCTGCCAGCCGTCTCCTGGGGAGAGCTCTGCAGCGGTCACAGCTTGTACCCAAGAGTACCTAGCTGCAGAGCACCATAGATGTGTGCCTGGCTCTTGAGACTGTTGCATCTTTGATGCCCAGCTGTGTTTGGAACACACAGAGATCAATTAGTTCAAACAAAGGCTTATTCAGAGGGATGGCCATGTCAGGTGGGAAGTAGTTGTTTTGCTGAGAGAGTGTGGGCAGTGAGGTGGGCTCTGGGCAGGGGGTATTGGGGAAGAAGCAGTCTGATTTGACAATCATAGCTGCCAGATTGGTGTGTACGATGGGTGTGATATAAATTGCTACCTATAAATGAATACCACAACAGCATTTTAATGAAGTGTTTTCTAGTAGTGCTTGTCCAGGCTGGTTGTGTTATGCTAAGGCTGGAGAGGTATCTCCAAGCAAGCTTCTTGGCTAAACCTTCATAAACATGGTCTCACCCAAGATCTAACTATGATTTGTTTGGATAAGAGGTTTTGCTTGTTTGTTTCTGGACGTGCTTTCAAATACATATGGGTTTTTACTTTTATTTATTTATTTTTTGCTTCTTGGTCCGGGTTTTGTGTTGGTATCACAGACCCCAACTGGTGCAGAGATTAGGGCTAAATCTGTTGCTCTTTCTGGGCATTCATTGTGGTTCTGACAGCAAGTGCCTGGGTCAGCTGCGGTTTTTCAAGGGACATCTGGGGCTGTGACTCACTGTGGTGACCTGTGTCTGTGCTGAGCCTGGGAGGTAAAAATACCCTTGCACACCAGTGTCTTTTGGGGAGTTCTCTGTCCTTAGCTTCTCCTGGTGTGCCGGTACACCTGGCACTGCAGCCCATGCTGCAGGAAGGCATAGCCTCATGGATCCACGCCTCACATTTGCAGTGTGATTCTGCAAAAACCCAGCAACCATTTCTCATGGTAGCTAGCAGATTTTCTGAGCCTTTGGCAGCCTGGATTGCTGCATATAAATGTGCGTGTATATATGGTAGGATACAGATATTGGAGTAGGTGTTGCATTTGGAGGACATCTGTTGTACACTGCTTTTACAACATTTCAGGCCAAAACAATTGTTTTATTAGAAGGTCTCACAACGTGTCCAGTTGCCACCACAAGCTGCATAAATCTAAAATAAAGCCCAGAAATAGTCTTTCTCATGCTGCCTCTGAAGTGAGGAGGTTTTGACAGTGCATTAAAGACAGGCCTCTTTTTTTGCTCAGGTTGAAGATCAGGGAGAGAAAGTTCAGTTCTTTGATCCTCAAAGATAAAATCTCAGACCTGAAGTCTCTTGACTGTCTGGACTTGTGATGTATGCACTGAATTCATTCATATTACAAATAAGTAATAACTGGCAGGTGATGCTGTGGAGATAACAGCTTAGTTCTTTTCGAGGAATCTGTAACTAACTCCAGCCAGGTCTCCCGGATCAACAGCTGTTTAAAAAAAAAAATTAAAAAATAATCAAATAATTTTGGTTGGAAAGAGCATCTAGAGGGCTGCAACCAACCTCCTCAAAGCAGGGCTAACTTCAGCACGAGCCTAGGCTACTTAGGGCTTTGTTGTTAAATGTTGGAGGTCTCCATGGGTGTAGATGTTACAGACCTCTTTGGGCACCCATTTCAGTGCATGTCGGCTTTCATTTTGAAACATTTCTCCAGTTATATTCAATGGAATTTCTCCTGCTTCAGCTTGCGGTCGTTGCCCTCACACTGTGCACTGCTGATGAGCATCTGGTTCCGTTACCTCCTGTGCAGCGAGGGTGCAATTGGCCGTCACCACTGCACAGGCTCCCAGCTGACTCATGATGAGCATTTTGTCCACTGGGACCCCAGCTTCTTTTTTCAGTAAAGCTCCTTGCTAACCACTCAGCTCCCATCCTCTGCTGTTGCACAGATTAATTCTGTATCGTGTGCAGATTTTGTCTTTCTCTTTGATATATTTGAGGAGATTTCTGTCAGGTTAGTCTGCTGAAGAGCATGTGGATGGCTGTCCTGTCCTCCAGCATAATGATCTACACCCTAAATGCAGTGTCATGTGCAAACATGCAGAGCACGCGTTGCACCCTTTCATCCAGGATGTTAGTGAAGACAGGCTCTAGTTTTGTCCCTTGAAAAATGCCATTTCTTAATGCAATTAATTAGAAGTCTAGTTGTTGACCATTATTGCCTTTTGAGCTTCATGTGCTTTTTCCAGGCGTGCTGTGGACCATCCATGAAGTCTGTACCACTCTAGTTTGTTTTAGACAGGAGACAATGTTACAGGCTATTTTAAAACCAAAGTAAGTGACATCCACAACATCCCTAACTTGTTTATCCAGCACGTCATTTCAAGCACAGAAGACAACCATGTTGGCCAGGTACAGTTTGACCTTAGTAAATCCATGCTGCCTGTTCTGAGTTGCATTCTTGTCATTGTGTTTGGAATGGCTTCCAAATGAATTTGCTTGGTAATGTTCCCTGATAAAAAATGTACTGATACCTTAAAAATGATATCTAGCTCTTTGCTAATGCTTAGGCTAATCCCTTTCAGAAGAAGCCAGTTGATTACATGTGTGGAGTTTGTGACACCTACAGCATGAGCCTGATGTGCTGGTTGAGGGAATTTTTGGTAGGGAGCGGCTGAGCAGGTCAAATTCAGAAGCAACCTAAGCAGGACACACCTACTACTCCTCTGTTGGGATTCCCTTTCTTCCCAGCCTGGCCACCAAGAGTGACCATCCTAATGTTGTTGCTATGGCTTTTGTGTTACCATGAAGCAGTTCTAAACAGAAGAAACAAGGAGGAACCAGATCAACGGATGGTAGAGTGTGGTATTGTCTGACGCTGGCACCCAGCAGGGATTTGACTGGTTTTGAAAGAGGAAGAAATAAAAAAGAAGGTTAGCTGTTTGGAGAGTTGGGTGCAGGCCTGGTCATTTCTAGAGAGCATGAGTATTTCAGTCAACAGGAAGGGTCAGGCACTTGCCAAAATACACATTAGCACAATGGCCTATAGCAGGTTGAATTCACAGAAGACGGTTGAGTTTCACTAGGTATGGCTCTGGCAAAGCCTTTTTCCTGCTGTGGCCCTGCAGTCCGACCTGGTGACTTCTCAACCATTTTCTTTCTTACTTTCTATCAGCATACTTATCTAGCTATTGTAGTTCAGGCCCTTGTGAACCGATCTGGTATGCCTTTGGGTGACTTGAAGCTCTCTCCTTGTGACAGATAACAGCCCTTGTTCCCAGCCAAGGTGACACCTCTGAAGTCTTCTGAATCACTCCTTTTGTATGGAAAACTCTTGGTAATGCTAGTCAGAACAGTGGAGGGCTGGCAGGAGTCAATGGTGTGTTCACAGCTGGAAAGTTTGGCAGACCAGATATGTCCCCTGTAACTGGAACTAGAGCAGGTATTTGCAACTGAGGAAAGAGGCAGGAAGGTGCAGTGGTGGGAGGCAATGAGCCTGAGTGCATGAACACTTGGGCAGGCAGCATTGCACATGGCTTGCTAATTAGACAAAATATATTTAATCCTGTCATCTTTTACTGTACCCATATTAATGTGATTGAGCAGCTGAATTTCTGCCTCATTTGCTTTCTTCTTACCTAGCACATTAGAAAACTTTCAACAGTGGCACACAGAAAAGCAAATAGGACATCGGTGTAGTGATAAGCCTGCTGTGCATTTGCAAATCCATGTGCATCTCTGAAGGCGACGCAGTCTCAGGCATGTTTGGCTAAGGTTTATATTGCTCTGCACGGGAGGCTGAGGTTTGAAGGTCTGAAGGTAAGTGTGTGTGTGTACCTGCATGCTGGAGTGCGGTCCCTCATGCGCTAATGAAATCTGACTTGCTGGGTCACCCTCCTGCTTCATTTGCAGTGACACAATATCATTTAAAGTTGTTTGCTTATTACAGAGATAATATCACAAGGTGTGGTGCCCTGATGGGAGCCTAGCAAGAAAGTAACACTCATTCACCCACCCACCTTTGGCAGATTGTCTGAGGGTCCCTCATTGGCTTCGTGACGGAAAGTGGTTGATTCACCTCCACCCAGCAGTAATTAGGTGTTGCTGCCTATGGAAGTTCCCATGTTTGGCATCGGACTGGTAAGCCTAGAACTCATTGTTGAGATTCACTGCAGAGTAAAACCATCACTCTTTGTTTTGTATTCAGCCTAGTAAGTTACTTAGTACATTATATCATTTACTTGTGAATTTTATATCATCATTAAAATGCTCCTAGGTGCTGTTACCCTGGTATATTTCACAGCAGCTATTTACATGCAGCCTTCCCATCAAACAGGGAAGCAGTTCTGGTAGCAAAAATTTAATTATGTTCTTTCAGAACAGTGTCTTTTTTTTTTTTTTCTTTTACTGTAGCTCCTACTGCATACAGAACAGCTCCTTCCAGAAGGGCTTTGCCAGCCCTCAAAAACTGATCGTTTCAGCCCCTGAGCTTTAAGACACAATTGCTCCCTTGTCAGTGCAGTTCTTACCGAAGTAGGCTGGCTTGGCAGGTCTCCACTTCTTCTTTGTTTAAGTTTATATATTTTTATATCAGAAAGGTAGTAAATTTGACAAAAGAGGTTTATTCAGACTCTAACTGTACAGTTTACCACACACACAAAATAAGATATCCAGCACACTTTGTTGTAATTTATAGCATCGATGCCAAGCTGTTAAAATACCGGAGTTAGTCCACTTCTCCCTGACTTGACCTTTTGAAAGCTTTTCTGCATCACTGTGCCATGCTGAGTTTTCTGTTCTGCATCCTCCATCTTTTCAGGACATTGTTGCTATAAAGTGGGAAGACTTTAACTGAAGTGAGCCCAAGCTCATAGGGTCCCAGTCCCCAGCATGCGAGGCTTTCCCTGGGACAGAGATGTGGGACTCTGGGCACCTTTGGCACCTTGGCTGATGGGGCCTCTGTTGGGTGGAGTCCTCTGAATGGTTCAGGTGTCTCCTCACTCAGGTTCTGAGTGTCCTGTCACTATGGGGAGAATTTCCCAAATGGCATCAGAACCCACGTTAACGTCTTCGGGGTCAGGCTTCCATTTGGCTGAGCCCTGTGTCCTGGGGCACCCAGAGCTGCTGTGCTGGGTAACCTGTTTCATGGAGCGAGCACTAAATCCAGAGACCTTACTCAACCAGTGGGTTCTCATTTATGTATTAGATTTAGTATCCAAATGATCCTATAAACACAGCCATGGAACAGGAGCTGCAATCTATTTAGCAAGGTCTGTTTCCATGTATGTTCATCAGTGAGTTGGGATCAGAGTGGGCGTAGGTCCTGGGGATAGGTGACTGGAGTTAGCAAAGAAGAAAGAGGTGTGGGTGGATGGAGTAACATTTCAAAAGAGAAGGTGAATTCACAACTCCACTTTTTCTACCTGGTCTACAACAGTACTCCCACTGCAGTGATACATGGGGTCTGGAAAATTGTCTCCTGAAGCTCAGTTTAGTGGAGGGAATAGAACAGCAACTGCAATGCAGGCAGGAGGAGTCGATTCACTCAGTATTATTTGTTAACATATGAGCTTCTCTACCTCTGTAGGCATTGTAATAGCAGTGTCATCTGATACAGGCCTGCAGCATATCAACTAATGGGCACACTGCTGCTGGGAGGTTCTCAGACAAGGTCAGCAACAGCCAGACCATATACTGAAATCCTTGCTATAAAAGCAGCTTTATTTCTGACCTGTATGCTGGGACTGTCCAGCTTCCAGCCCCATGTTTGTCTTTTGGTGCCTGCCTTCCAATTGTGAGGCTCTGCTTTTCCCCTGGGCAGTACCCAGGCCAGAGTGTGCTCTGTGAAAGGGTAGTCAAGTTGCTACACTCTGCTGACAAGAGTCACTTAGCAGCATCACATAGCAGGCTGGGATCCACAGGTTTGTCTAAGAGCCCGTCATGTTCAGCACTATGAAAGCCAGTGGGATGGGCTGCCTGAATCCCTTTGGTTCTGATGCAACTTGTTTAGTTTTCTTCAGCCACGTCTGCATGTGTCCAGCACCAGCATTGCTGAGTGTCTGTGCCTGTGCATTCTGAAGCGCCTTCCCTTAGAAACAGCGGAAGGACATCACCTCCTGCGCTTGATGGGATGCACAGTCTGTGCTCAGCAGTGGGTGCAACCAGAAACCAGGCTTTGGGAGCTCTCGTTTTGACTGGCACAGTCTGGCTTGAGTCCTGTGCATGACTGCCCAGTTCTGCTGCTTACCCTTCTTTGGGTGAAGTGACCCTGGTTTGGCGGGTCGCACACCCACACCTCCAAGCTGTCCCAAAACTAAGTGGTGTGTCATCACCTTTGTGCTCCTCCCAGCTGGGCAGAGATTGGACTTCACCTCCCCTTCTTGTATCAGAATTGTCAGTCTCAGCACAGACTTACATATATTTTTTTTAATTTGTACATTAGGAGGATTTTGCATCATAAAATGCTGTAATGTAACAGCCATGTAATTGATGACTGGAAGTACTGAGATCACTGGCTCTCAGTGCAGTAAATAGAAAGCAGCAAGGTTCTGCTGCTCATTTCCAAACAGGTGAGTGGGAACTCTGAGAGCAGGAGCGATTAGTGTGTCTGCAGGTCTGGTTTCTCCTTTCCCTGAAGTGAAGGTGGGCGTTAGTCTGAAATGTGCAACATCCACATCATGCCTGATCTAAGATTTGCCAATGTGTGCTCATTGCTTTCTACTCTTTAGCAATCAAACAGAAACTTTTCAGCTGGTACCTGCTGGGTGACAGACAAGGTTTGAGAAATAACCTTTCGGTCACTATTGCAATATTGTGAAAATGTTCTTTGGTGATAAGACAGCTGCATCATATGAGTAGAGCCCATTATCTCAGCACAACCTGGATTCCCCAGTATGGCTCATAGATTTTGTTACTAAAAATGTGCAGAGGTGCACTGGGTGGTCATGTACAACTTGCATGAGAAATGTATCAGATGGACGTGAAACTTACATTAGCACGTTTCCCTGTTGTAGAACCCTTTAAGCTTAGTCCTGCTTAAACAGCCTTGATGATAAAGGCCACACTGCTTGCTGTGGGAGGGGGACTGGATCATTAATGCTATATGATAAAAAGGCCTTGTGTTACCAGTGCTGTGATTGCTCAGGACGCAGCTGGCACTGTAGTTATTTTAAGTTTCAGAATTTGTATTATTTGCCATATAAACCATTGTAAAAATGAACGTAGCGATATGTAACAGACAAAGGTATCTTCCCACTGAAGCAGTGTTGAGTCATTATGCAATACCACCAAAGGAACAAGCGAAGTTTTATCAGCAACAGTTGGCAGTATTTCTATTACATGGCATTAACCAATAATTTCTAAAAAATGCCTGTTAATTATGGTATTCAGCCCTTGCAGGCAGTTCTATCGTACAAGTGCAATCCAGTATCCAGCCACCAGCTGAAGACTGTAGCCTTTCATTGTCACCAAACAGTCATAGAATCATAGGATGGCTTAGGTCGGAGGAGACCTTAAAGTCCCAGCCCAGTTGGCATGGGCAGAACTGCACCCATCAGATCAAGCTGCTCAGGGCCCCATCCAACCTGGCCTTGAATACCTCCAGTGATGGCACATGCACAGCTTCTCCAGGCAGCCTGTGCCAGTGCCACAGAATCGGGTTGGAAGGGACCTCCAGAGATCATCGAGTCCAACCCTCCTGCCAAAGCAGGTTCCCTACACCAGGTCACACAGGTAGGTGTCCAGGCAGGTCTTGAACATCTCCAGAGGAGACTCCAGCATTTCCCTGGGCAGCCTGTTCCAGTGCTCCATCACCTCACCGTAAAGAAGTTCTTGTGCACATTTGTGCAGAACTTTCTATGCTGCACTTTCTGGCCGTTTCCCTTTGTCCTGTCTCCACACACTGCTGAAAAGAGGCTGGCCTCGCCACTCTACCCCCCACACCTGAGTAAAGATTTTCTTCCTAACATCTAACCTAAATCTCCCCTCTTTTAGATTAAAGCTGTTCTCCTTTGCCCTGTCTGTCAGACCGTCTATAATGCCAATCCCCCTCCTGCTTGCGAGCTCCCTTCTGGAAAGACCAAGTGAGCTTTTTCTTAAGGTAAGACCATTTCTTAAGCTGATTCCTTTCTGAGGAAGTCACTTTTATCACTGTTGTGTTTTGTTTTTTTTTAAATTTTAATTTTTGTTTTTGTTGGTTGGACACTGTCAAGTAACATTCAGAAGAGATGCTTTACTCACCGCTACCTCTGGGCAGCTCGTCTGGCTGGCACACAGCCTGCCAGCTTGGGGCAGCTGCTGAGCTCCAATATGGCACGAAATCTGTGGCTGGGCTGCTGGGCAGCCAGCCTGGCTCCAGAGGCTGCGTGAGCTGCCATCCTCACCGCAGCCCTAACACCAGCAGCAAACTGCAGGTCCTGGGGCACAGAGGTTGCACAGTGCTGTGTCTGCGCTGCAGCACCCAGCGCCATCAGCCCAGGCTTCTGAGCTGCACTGTGCATCCCTTGAACACTGAACCCCCATGCTGCATAGGGCAGTGGGGCTGGTGCGTTGCATGCTGCTGCAGCCATCTGCTGCTGCTCTTCAGCTGCTCTCTGGAGGTGTCTGCTGGGCTCCCAGTACATCTGAAAGACGTCACATCGTGCCACGAAGCTTTATCTTCTGGCTACACAAACATGTCCTAGAATGCACAGAGCAGGAGCAGATAAGGGTAAATCTTCTGTCGGTAACGGTAACAGTGACTGAAAAAAGTGACGTTTGTTTTGTACTTATCACTTTGTCTAGTGGTAATTATTATTGCTATTGTTAGTGCTTCAATTGCAATATCACCTGAGGCTGCCTAGCTAGCCTGGGCTCCATTGTGTTTGGCACAAGCACATCCAAACTTCTCCAAAAAACTCTCAGATCAGAATACAAGTGACTTAGGATGGCAGAGAGGAGGGATAAAACCAAATGAATACAATTAGGCTGGGCACAACTTAGTCATTCTCTTGGTATAATTATGAAATGGACAAAGGTAGTGCCAAATAACCTCAAATGCCCTTCTAGCTATAATTAATTATATTGCATAATAATAGTGTCAGTTTAAACATTGTTTAAAAGCGATGCTTTGCTCAAAATTACAGCCACACTTAGATCTTGCACAACAGACAAACACATAGCAGTGTCTTGACTTCCATTTTCTATTTCATTGTGTCATCGGTGCATAGGAAAAGCTCTTGACCAAAGAGCAGTCAGTGATACAGCAGTAAATAGAAGTGGGCAGATAGATCTGTCTGTGGTATATGAGGAGCAGGTAAATATTAGAAGTGCCCAGAGTAGAAGCAGGTACAAAGGGAGTGCCCTTTGCCTGCATTTACCCTTGACTACACCACTTAGAAGAGTTGCATAATTGATACAATTGAACCACATCAGGCTCTTACTTATAGAACATAATGAAATGGTTTTCAGCATTGTGGATCATGCTACATGGATGATTGCAATATATGCATCCAGGCAGAATAAATAAAACCATTTCCCTAAGGTATTATGTCTCTTCACCTTCTCTGGTTGCACCAGGACTTAATTCTGAGAGCAGTTCTTTGGCGCAGCACGTAACCCTGTGCTGCTGCTGCACGCACTGGTGCAGAGCAGAGCGCCTTCCTTAATGCTGAGGGTTTGCAGTTCCCATGCAGTACATGAAGTGCTGTCAGAAACTGGTGGAGTTCAGGGGGCACACATACACACACCGCAGGCTATGCAGCACAGACCCCTGCATCATACTTAAGTTTTTCCTGTTTTCAAACACCTGTTAACCTGTACGTGACAGAAATGTGGCTCGCCTGTAGGAAGTACAGCGTCGCAGGCAGCATTATTTGATAGCTGCTGAGTGATGGAAGTGGGAGTGAGGCACAGAGTGGTTCCTGGATAAACAACGCAGGGGAGCTTCCCCCTCCCCCCTTCTTTCCCCCTCCCCCACTCTGCAATAATCGCTCATTACTAGGTCTTACTCTGTGGCTGTGTCTTCCAGGGATGACTGTGGGCTACAACAGAAGCACGAGTATCAGGTGGCACTGAGAATGAATTACCATAGAAGTTACATAGAATATAGTGCCGTGCTATTATTTTCTCTTTTTTTGTTGTTGTTGTTGCTTTGACGGCAAAACTATAGCTCATTTAGAAGTATTCCTCTTGCTGGATGCTTTGCCCATTGTTACGTGGTGTTCTGCTACTCCTATTGCATCATTTGAACTTGGCCTTTACTTATGATGCTACATTGTTTTCTGTATACACTTTATAATTAGAATTACTAATTGCAAGCTTGCCTGTTGTCTTTAGTTGCTTTTCAAGAGCATTACTTGCAAAAAAATCACAGTTACACAGTTCTTTTCAATTGTTCAGCAAGTATTTCCATAAATAGAAGAGAAACCAGGACTATGTTTTTAACTTAGCAGTTGCTGAGCTTTAGCTGATGTGCAGAAATACACAAACCACAAAATGGAGTCTTTTCAGAAGCTGAAGTTCACCTCATCCTCCTTTTTCTTTTGAATGATAATAAAGAAAACACATTAGGTATGGTGACATTTTTCCACCAGCTGTTACTTTTGATGTTAATTGGTGGGGTTTTTCTGATATGTAGAACTGCTGCATAAATGTCATATTGTCACCTTTGTGATACGTTTGGGAAACAGCACACAGAAAGTGTCCGTGCAGTGTAATTGTTCTGCAAGAAAACTAGTCATTTCCATACACATGCTGCAGACTTAAACACAACGATCTCATTTTATCATTTGTTATTTGATGATGACTCAGTGGTGTTATTCTGGTGAAAATTGGAGTACAGCAGTGAATCAGCTCACTGGCTCTGCTTCACGCTATCTAAAAAGAGGATCCACCTACAGGTAAAGTATGATCACTCCACGAGTATCTCACGGACTGCAATCTGTCCTGGCTTGTCAGGTCTTCATCGGAAAAGGATTGCATGGGTTGAAAACCAAAGCACACGCTGACTGCTGCTTTAGTCAGTGGGAGCACTCGTGAACAAGGTGAGCTGGTTTTGGCTTTTCTAACGACAAATCACTCCAATGCTGGAGCATAGGGTTACTCTTTTTTTTTAATTGCTGATGCTTTCATTACCTGTGGTTGCCACGGATGGAGAGAGCAGCATCTCCACTGCTTTTCGCCAGTTCCCCAGGAGGGCTGCAGGGTGTAGGGCAGTGCTGTGCTGGGAGCGGAGGAGCCGGGCGGCAGTGATGCTCTCCTGGCACGGCGCAGCGCTGGCGGTGGCTGCAGGGAGACACCTCCCACTGTGTTTGTGCAGCATTGGTGGTTAGATCTGCTGCTACAGCTGTTTCGTTGGCAGCCACCAGCTCAGCTTCACTATTACGCTTCAGTAAAGACTCAGTGGAAATAATACTGGAAAGCATATGTAGGTGAACTCAGCATGTTCTTTCAGTGTGAGCATGTCACGATTTACTAACCAGCCTCTATTCAAACTGCCAAGTAACTTCCCTCTTCCTTATGTCATTCCAGTTGGTTCCTTTCCCAGAGTTGTTCTTAAAGGACATCCCACAGAAATCTGCTCTCAGCCAGTGCCTGCAGATGTAGCCCTCTCCCACTTGCATGAATGCTGTGCACTTACCTCTCCTGCACCCCGTTAATGGATCGATTACTGGACTGAGCCCAGCTGTGTGATGGTGCTGGCACACTCAGCAGGAAGCAGCAGTTCTTGCTTTGAGCATCAGCCATCACAGAGGACCTGAGCAATGAACTGAGTGTGTAGATTTATTTGCAGGGTGAGGGATGAGTAAGGTAGGCGCCTTTGACACATGGATGGACTGGGAGAAGGGGCTTTGCTGGATGCCTTATGACTGCCCGCGGGAGACAGCTGGAAAAGGTCTTCTGTTTCCACCACATGGTAAGAGCATCACCTCAGGAGTGTCCCTGCTGCTGCCCACACCCAGCAAAGCCTTGGGCCCAGCCTGGCTCAGAGCTCTGCTCCCAAACTCACAGTGCAAGCAATGTCACACAGACTGCAGTCCTCAGTGTGACATCGGCACTGCTGGGCACCATGGGTTAGGCATGAGCTTTTTCACCCTGCCAAAGGTGCCTTTGGGGTCTTCAACCCCGGTGACAGCAGGTGAAGGCTGACAGCGCCTGCTGCTGTTCAGCTGGAGGGAGCTGATGGTGCCAGGCTGCAGGGGCAGCTGGGTGACACCACGTAAAGAGCAGCAAGTTGCTGGCCATCTCAGCAGAGGGGGGAGGGAGGCCATGACCTGCTGCTCCCCATTGCAGGCACAGCCTTGGTGGCAAAATTTGGCTGCAGCAGATGAGAGATAAGCCCTGCGTGTAATCACACCACACAGCCTCCAGGAGAGAAGCAAAGGCTGCATTCTGCTGTAGGCAAAATGGCACCCAGCCCCTACCTGCGCAGTTGTCATTGCCAAGGAGACACCAGGTGAACTCAGGAAAAGTGAAACATCGTGAGAAAAACTGGGGAATGAACCAGAGAGACAGAATCTTACAATAACACCAATGTAAACACAGGCCTAGTTTTTATCTTGTGCAGAGAGATTGTTTTTGAGAACAAATGCAGAGTGAAATGAATTCATAGACCTCTGTACCAGGTGCAATCATTAGTCAGTAAATGAATTACACGTAATTATCTGCTTTGTATTTAATTCACTTGGCTTCCAGTTTCTTACTCTTCGTACAGTGAAACTCTCTATCTCTCTCACACAAACACACTCTCCATGGGCAAGGAGGTTTTGGAGGGCTGCCATCATCCTGACTCATGAATCAGACTCCATGATTTGAATGATATTTATCTAAGCCTGCAAACAAAGAAGATGGCTATGTGTCCAATGAGAGAATAATTATTGTTATTATGTTTATAGAGCAACAAAGTTGGGAGTTAGGACCCCGGGGGAAAGGTGGCAGGAAGGGCGAGCTGGGCAGAGGCAGGAGGCTGTAGGCAGTGTTTCAGTGCAGGGATGTGCCAGGGCCTCAGCAGGGCTCCCCGCTTCTGAGTCACCTCTGCCAGGCATCGCTCAGCGGCCACGGCAGGCAGTGAGGTGATGGCTGCTTCCGTGGGATGCTGCCAGGGCTTTGGCAGCGGCTGAAAACTTGGGGTTGGCTCAGAGCATCCTGCACAGGTCCATCACCAAGGGGACAGAGGACACGGATATGCCTGTGTGGCACATCTAGGAAGGGAAAGAAACCTATAACAGGGAAAAGTGTCCTTTGCAGCTAGCGCAGCTGCTGCCACAGCAGGTTGCTGAGACGCAAAAATGTCCCTTGGCATGGCAGCGGGCTCACCTTGCTTTGTGACTTCAGTGCGAGCGTGGGCACAGGAGGACTGCTCATTGCATGGGAGAGCTCTGGGTGCTGTGACAGTGCCATGTGTGAGCGAGGTCAGTGCTCTGTGCATCTGTGGCAGTGCTGGAGGAGACTGCCTGTTGGGGCCATCTGTGGCAGGCAGTAAGCTTGGGAGAAAGGTAACTTGAATCCCATATTTCTAAAATGCCACTAAAGCTTCATCATGCCCTGTGACACCCGCTGAGGTTACAGGGACCCACCCCTGCCAGGAAGGGCATCTGATGTGTGTGTGCCTGCACAAAGCTCACTCCTCTCTGTTGGCCCATGGAGCAGGCCTGGTCCCACCTGTGTTCACAGCTGATCACAGGTGATGGTGACGGGGCTCTCCTTCAGCTTGGCACCACCAAGCAGCCCCTGCCCAGCACAGCCATGGCTCTTTCTGCAGAGCCCAGAGATGAATACCAGACTGGAAGTGCCTTGGTTTGTGATTAAGTGCCAGCCATCATAAAGGCAAGTAGCCCTTCTGTTGAGAGAATCAGAAATCAAAGTACTGTTTACCTCTGTTAACACAGCTTTAGATGGTAAAGGTGGAGGCACCTTGCAGCCATCTCTAATCCCCTTTAAGTTACAATACAAAGTCAGGGAGACAGCAGCACAGACAGCCAGGTGAGAACACCCAGCAAGGCAGCAAATGTAGAACAAATCCTACATGGGGAACGGGCCATCCTGCTCTTGTTCTGCAAGTATTGGTGTTGAAAGCTTCCAAATTTCGCCCCGGTTATTGAGAAGGGGATGAAACCAGTAACTACTTGATAATCAGTGCTGCAAAAAATGCCACTAAAAATGGAAACTAACTCAATGCTACTCTGATCAAACCACTTGTGGAAACCATCTTGCTGGATGTTTTAACTGATAAATAAATTCATGTTAATATCCCAGGAAGAAACACGGAAAGGCTTTGACCAATGAAGTACTGCCAGTGCAATGGTATGAAACGATCCTCTGGATCACAGAGCATTCCTTGGGGGACATGTCTTGCAAGCGCTGGCTTTTTTAAACTGCAGTAAATCTTCCTTACTTAATTCCCTTTTCAGAATAACTTAAATTTTCTGGAGTAGGTTGATAGAAAATATCTGTGTGGTAACATTAACAGCCCAGAGGGAAAAAAAAAGTTTTTATAGGAGAGCAATCAAAATATTGCTGAGACAGGACTGGCCACGAGAGGAGAAACAGTGGTTTCTGGACTTTTGGTAAAGCCCAGGAGTCCTGCACCAGGACTTCCTCCATCTCACAGAACTGCTGCATGGCCCTGGGAACGGCTCCCAAAATATGTTTGTTTATCAGTTGGCCTAGTACAAATATTACTGCTCCCCACACATTTTGTCTACAAAGCATCTGAATGCCCTTGAGTGGAGGAGGTGAAGGAGGAGGAGAAATAGTCCAGCACTGGTCTCCGTAAATAACACTGCATAGGCAGCAGTTCCTGCATCTCTCACCCTCTCTCACTGATGCACAAAGGCTTTATATTATTGCTAGGAGGAAAACATCAGGCAATACCCAGCCTGAGATGGCAAGCAGTCCCGCTGCTTATGGTCTCAGAGAAATAATGCCATGATACACGAGAACAACAACGCCACAAATCCTTCTTTCTGAGCAGGTTGACAGAAAGCAGCAGTGTGAGGCCATAGCTGCTGCTTCGTCACAGACACCACATCCAGCACACCTGCTCCTGCACACCTTGGGGCTGTTGCTGGACATAGTACGCCTTCAACTTTTCTTAACATTGCAACACAGATGGCAGCTGGCTTTGTACATCCGAACACAGTCGTACTGTCGTGCACCACAAGACCACAGAGCAGCCATGTTCCTCTGTCAAACCCAAGGAGGTTTCTGAAAAACATCACTCTGCAGATGGCAGAGTGCAGCCGTGGGGCCAGCAGTGGCCTAAACATTGCACAGTGTGGGCAAAGCAAGTTCAGGGCTGCCTACAGCTGCCTGCAGAGACGGGCTTTTTCAGCACGCTATATGCACTGACCATCAGGTCCCTTCTCAGTGTGAGTACTGTCTATTAGGGATCGCTAAGGAAATAGAAATTTCAAATTCCTAGAGGAATTTTTCCCAATTCACAAGCTGTTCAATGTTAACAAAGTTACACATTGGAGTCAGTGACAAAAGAGCACAGGTTCAGCAGCAGAGATGTGAGATAAGCCCTACAGCTGCTGGACTTGTTGAGTTACTCCAGTGAAGCCAGACAAGTAATTTACAGAGTATTTTAATAGTCTGTACTTGTGGGGATTGTACTAATTTTTCACGAAGATACTGAAGTAATTTACAATAGCAATATTGTTTACCAGCCCAGGGAAGGTTGCATCACAGAGCCATGTGTGCTTTGGATGGCTTAGAAGGGGATGGAGCGAAGGAGTGGAAAGAACCACATCCTTCTCTTGATCACAAATCACTCATGTTTGTACCTGAAAGACCATAAATGTGTCTGTTTGCAGTGTCCTGGCACACAGCCTGGGAACTTCCATTAAAAGATGTAGCTTCACCGCACTTCAGCTCCCAGCGCCAGACATGGCATCTTCAGCGTGCAGAGAAAAGCTTTGACATTGTGACTGTGGCAAAAAAAAAAAAAGCCTGATTAATCTGGCAGTAGAGTTCACCATTGCTTTCCCATAGGGCTGCCGGGGTATTTCTCCTCTGACCTTGCAGCACACCCTGGCTCCCAGCTGTTACATTATTCCATTTTGTCCTGTTGCACCAGCCTCGCTTTAGGACAAATACATGAATTTGTGTTTTGGTGATGTGAGGCAATCTAACACTGACCTTGTGTGGTGCTTCACACAGACGTAACGCATCCTCTGAAGCCAGGGGGAGCATGACTTAACAGCTAATGGCAGGGCAGGTCATGTCCTCCACGTCCCGGGCACAGGAGGCACCTGTTTGCTCACAGCCCGACCTTCGCAACCTCCTGTCTGCAGTGAAGGAGTCAGGACCTGGGCTCCCACTGCAGTGGGACCAGGCTCTCTGAGGTCGTACAATCCCCCAGCACCGCTCATGGGCACAGCTGTGAAATCGAAGCTTTTCTGAAGAACCCAACTCCTGCTCGTGCTTTCTGCTATCCCGTGCCAAAGGAATGCCAACTAAGCCCATTTACAATTGTTTTGCTTGACATATGGGTCCCAGATACGGAGAAATTGCCAAAAGAAGTTCCTTTCTGTTGGGTGTGGGTATACGCTGTTGAGCTTGGCTCTACAGGAGGGAAAGGACAAAAGGACAACCAAAGAGAAGAGAAAAGCTGGGCTGGGAGGGAGAGGCAGAGGAAGATTTTGCGTGCGCCTGGGAAGGAAACAATGGGACAAGGGGAAGGAATTAAAAGAACCACATCCTTCTCTGCATCACACCCCTGCAGTTTGAGTTACTCATGCTGGACCAACCCATAGTGCCTAACATCGCTCCCCTGTGAATGCTGCGGTAAGCTCTGTCCTGTCAGATGTGCCCATGTACCATGAGGGGAGCAGCACTCATGGCACAGCAGATCAAGCCTCTCTCCTTCACAATGACAGTCTGACATGAGTTCATTCTCATTAGCCCATCCCAAATGCGTGCACCTAATCCAGCCCCACAATCTGGAACATAAGCCAAAGCATGTTCCTCCCTCCCCTCCACCTCCGACCCCATGGCCAAGCCAAGCCTGACCCCACAGACAAGCTCCTCAAAGCTCTCAGCAGATCTTCCAGCTGGGATGTCCTTCTCACCCACTCCACTGCCCTGCAGCTCCTCTTAGGGAAGAGGTACACAAGGGAGGGACAAAGAGAAAGTGGTATTTTCTTGTACCCTCTTATTGCTCTCTCAGCCCTGCCTGCTCCTCAAAGCTCAACACTCTGCTCATGAACTGCACATCTAATTAGTGACGATCTCGGTGTTTTTTCATCATTCCTATATTCCATAATACAGTCATACTATTTGCAACTTAAATGCAACTACAATTGCTGCTTAAGTACAGTTATCACTTACAGAAGCAGTGCAAAGTAAAGGGGGTAATGTCAAACCTGCCTCCCAGATGGACCCATCAATATAGAGAGAACAACAAGGATTATCAGCAGCACCATCAGCATTTGAATGTCCAGTATCAAGTCTTTTGTTCTGAACAACCCAGAAATAGGCCTCAATTTGCCATTTCCTTCAATTAAAGGATATCTGAAAGTGAAAGGCTCCAGCCCTCTTCTCATTTCTGTGTCCCCCCTTTGGACCTGCTCTAACAGCTGTGTCTCCTGAGGCACATAATTCATCACAGATCTCCTGGACACTGAGCCACTGACCACAGCTCCCCGGATGTGGCCATCCAGTCAATTCCTTTTCCAAGAAACAGTCCATTCAAACCCCTGTCTCCAATACAGAGACAAGGACATTATGGGGCCGTGTCTAAAGCCTTACAGAAGTTCCTGAAGACGACATGAATTGCTGCTCCCCTTTTTGGAGAGAGAACTGTACATGCTTCCAACTCCAGCTATTCTATGATTCTCTGCCCAATTTTCCTACCTCCAGAGACTGCAGAGGAGTTTTATTCCTCACTCATGGCACGCACAAAAGCCATGGATTGATATTTTAGGATAAGCCTAAGCCAAGCTGAAGCCACCATTCTCTCAGCTCTCAAAGTCCTACGGCTCCGAGATCACACCTTAATAAATAGCACTGCTACTTCAAGAGCTTTTGTTGCTGAAAACAGGACCAGTAGAAGGGGACAGGTTACACACTTGGAAGCATGCAGAGTCCTTCAGGATTTATTTGTTCACTCCAGAGAGAAAGTGAGTCATGAGAAACCTTAAGGTGGAGCGCTCAAAACAAGGAGTGTATAAATGATTAGCAAGGGAAGGTCAGCACCAGTCCTTCAAGTCTGAGCATGTCCCACTGTCGAAGGTGCATAAATAATAGCAGCTGGATGCTTGTGGCTGTAGGAGAACGGCTATCGCACTTCCAGTCCCTTGCACGACTCTGGCTCTTATAATCTGTGAAGCTGATCTCAGTTTTCTTATAAAAATAAAGTGGCTGATAAATGGAATTCAATCAACAGATCTAGTTTCAAGACAAAACTGCATGCTTGACAAAAGCCAAGATTAAAAAATTCTAAAAAAGTTTTTACTATGTGGAGATTCAAACACAGTGACAGGAGATGGACCTGAGTTCCCCTTGCTCTCATGCAGCAATACAATTAATCATCTTGACAGATAAAATCCGATTGCAAAACCTGCATTAGCACATTAATGCAAATGAATGAAAAAACATTCTCCTTTCTTCAGACCACAGGCTGAATTTAAAGCATTTGCAGAGAAGAAAATGATCAGTCACCTCCAGTGAGCATAAGTGGTGGTGATTCACTCAGAGATATCTGACAAGGCCACTGGCATCTTTTGTTTTTTCCTAAGACAAACTCTTACCTTACAGAAACGCTCTGTGGGATACACACAAACACTGAATATGTTATCTCTAGATCCACTGATACAATGCGGCACTGTATGACGCAGCACCTAACTACTGAGTGCAGCTGAAAGCTTGGAGGAGCTGGTACTTTCACCACTAACACCTGTACATCACAATGGGGGAATCCTGGCCAGTTTTGTATTTTATTATCCAACTGTGACAGAATCTCTTATGGAGATTATGAGCACCTTTTCCACTGAGCTTTTCTTCAGATCCTCTCTATGAAGTTGCTAACCAAGGATTGAAGTTGGACAGGTGAGCTGCAGCATAGGGACTGGCCAAGTCCTGAGTGGTGCAGAGCAACAGAAGCTTCTATGGAGTATAAAGGTATAAAACCACATACCTTAATCTGGTCTTGTGCTAAAACACAGAGGTAACTTCACAGACATCTGCATCAGGTGCACAGCATCAGGTGAAAAAGTAGTATTTTTTACCTTATTTCTATGTAGAAATTCAAGAGCACAACCCTACCATAACCCAGCAGTTAGAAGCAATGCCAAGAAAAGCTGTCTATTTACAAACAGACAACATGGTTACCAGCCTGTCCTTCCTCATGGAACTTATCTTGTTCATTTTGCTTTCACCCGTATTCTAAGACCCTTTGACCCTACATGCAGGTAGATACTTGGCTGAAAGTAAAGGATGTGACAAAGAGAAAAGAGACTGCAGAGATGTAACCGAACCCAGCAGCCTGTGGGGATCAAGGAGGGCCCCGCACTGTGGGATGGAGACACCAGCTCGAACAGGGTAGAAATGAACATGGACGTGTTTGTACTGCATGAAGCCATGTACAAAACCTGAATGCTGACCAGTGTCTCCTCAGCCCTCCTTTGCCCCCAGGCAGAGGATGGCAGGACAGGGGACACTCCTGCTTTTCAACTCCTGAAACAGAGGACGAGAAGGATGTAGTTCCCATGTGTTCAGGTAAAGGAGCATATTTGGGCCAAGTTTCAAACATGCATGCTTCCCAGCCTGAGTGCCATCTCCTTACCAACAGTACCTTGCACCACCGCTTTCTTTCTGGGGCAGTTCACAGCTCCTCTGGTGACTCTCTGGTGCTGGCACAGCGTGCCTCGCTGCTGGGCCACTGACCTGAAGAATTAAAACAAGATTTTGAAGTTTAACAAAGTTTAACATCAGTCCAGAACTGTACAAAGTTCAGTGAGGTCAATCTGCATTTTTTTTCTGTCTGCATAGATCTATAGATGTGCGTCTCAACGTAATGCATTTGTGGGTGTGGTCCATACATCACTTTAACTTGAGAATCTTACAACATTTGACAAATATTAACAGTGGAATATATAATCCTGACTCTGAGCCATTCTTACCCCTCAGGATAGCTGCAGGGCAGATGTACTTTGTTCTGCACAGAAGAACAAGTGCTCACATAAATGCATTTTGCCTAGAACTGTGTGATTCTTGTGCATTTCTCTAGACACGGTGAGTGCTGATATGGGCAGGCAGGAATGAAGGAATGACATGCAGTCTGTCTCTGTCTTTTCTTCTTTGGGAGGTGTTACAGAGGCTGCCCTTTTCAAAGTGTTTGCCAGTGGAATTAAGTCTGCATCCATCCTATGTAACAAAAGAATGAAACGACACAGTAAAAGCTATAAACTAATCAGAGGTTTGGCAGTCACTTCTGATCACAGAAAAAATGTCTTGATTCACATACACTTGAATGAATAAATAACCAAATTAACTACTTAAGCAGTGCTATCATTCTTTGTCAGTGTGATCCTCAGGCTTATGCAAAGTGTGTGAATGCTCTCTATGCAAAGCAGACAAGCATTTCAGAGGGAAGATGCATTACTCAGGTTTCTTTGCAATGAACTGTACCAAGAAAGGATGTTAAGCCTGTAAGCTCAGAATTGCTTTGCCTTCATCATGCAAGCACATTGCTGAGACATGGCTAGCTGACAGCACCAAGCTTATTCTGAGAAAGTCATAACAAAAAACATGTATTTATTCTTTTTAAAAGAAATGAGGAATAACCCTGAAAGCTGACCAAGCTCTTTCCTTCTGTCCCCTTTGTTATTTTCCAGTATCTCTGGGCCTGAGTCAAAACCACAGCTGTCCATCTAGCTTTCCCACTGACTTCTGTGGGGCTGGGATGGGGCTTGCATGTTATCTGGCCTCAGTGCTGTCCAGAATTTGTCATCTTATATCGCAGGCTCCCAGAAAGACAGAGCAGCAGACCCCAGACAATGTGAGGAAAGAATACAGATTAAGGCCGCCTGGCACAGGTAACTGTTTTGACACAAACAGCGGTGAGGCATGGCTTCAAATCCAAATAAAGGAGTGATGCCTAAGCATGATATCCTGTGTTTGAAGAGCACCAAGCACAACAGATGTGGAGGCTTTGGGCAGTGTGATTTAATAATAGTATGAAGAAGAAATAGAATTGTGGCTGAATTTGATGTTTGACCACAGTTCCTGTCCTCTCAACTCTGCTAATATACATTACAACTCTGTTTTCTTCTGGGAAAATAAGGACATACGTGGGAGGTATCTCACTCCTTTCTACTTGTACATGCAGTCTTTTGAGGTGTTGTCTATTAGGGTTTTAGGCACAAATTTTGTGTTATCCAGGATGGCACACAGATCATCACTGTCATTCCTAAGCTTGCTGGTAGAGCTAGCTGAGCTTGCTTTATTCTGGACCAGGTGACATCGTTGGTCTTTGCAGACCAGCAGACTTCTGTTCTCCCGTCCCCTGTGTTCCCTCCTAACCTGTACAAAGTATGTGAAGCACAAGGGAGAAAAGTCAACATTTGTTCAGTTCAACCTTGCACATGGGATGGAACAGCACATGGCACCCGAGTACATCAAAACAGAGTTCTCCTTACACAGAGTGAGTTTTGACTAAAGAAGTAAAACCAGGAAGGAAATTGTTAAAATCAAAGGAAAAAGGCACAGTTTAATAACCACAATAAACAGCTGCTGACCATGCAGTAAAGCACTGGTTTCCATAAGCCCAGGTGCTTTGCAGAGGTTGGCCCCATCCACTGCTATCTTCTTGAGCACGCAAGCGTGAAAGATGTTCACTTAGGAAAATACAGGTACTCCTTTATTCACACCTCGGAACAAATTTCTTCTGCTGGTGATAAACCCCATCAAACACCAAAAGCCTCACCTCAACCACAGCGTGCAGGCCTGCAGTCATGGAGGAGAGTGCTCCCACAGCTGAGCATCCCACTCCTCCACGTATTATGAGGATTACCCTCCCACTCTGAAGATTTCTCTGCTGTTTCTGAAGGGCTGCTTCAGGGAAAGAGTAAAATTTCCAAAAAATCACATTTTTCAGGCTAGTCCATTACTATGGGTGATAATTTTCATCATCATTTTTAAAGGGATGGTTCAGTGATCCTTTGAGAATTTGAGTGTCCGTTGTTTTCGCTGTTTGGACAGCAGCATATAGGCTATAACCATGGGCTTTAAAAATAAATAAGTTGGTAACACCCTGCTGGCTTTAAATAGAGGTTTTGGCATATGCACCTTCCCTTCGGGATTTTGATTTCTCAGATCTGAGTTCCATCACTTGGCAGCACCGCAAAGTGTGCCACATTTTCCCTTCACACAAACCCTGACATGATTTTTCTGGAGTGCAGTAAAGGTGTAACAAAACTCTAACTGGACAGACTGAGGCTCTGAGTAGCAAAGCCACCAAAAGAGCAGCTCCATAAGGGAAATAACTATTGTCACAAGTGGACATGAGCATCACCACAGGTAGGATGATGAACCTGAGGGCTCAGCTGCCTGTTGGGACAGTGGAATAAACGCACTGCATGAGTTTTCAATTCAAAGAGCAATATATCTTTTTCCAATCAACCCCAGCATGCACCTAACTACTTATCCTGCATATTGATAATTAATCAGCTATGTTATCCTCATAACCTTCCTGTTTTGGCTGTTTTCTCTTTTGTTTTGTAAACTCAGATCTGGTAAATAATGCAATCAGACTTCTCCTCTCCAATCACTGTCATTTTGTCCTACAATGCTCAGTGTCACTTAATAAAGTGACAAGAAATAACGCACTGACTGCGATGTATATTGCTTGCGTTCATCTTCATCGCAACAATGAGTCATTATTCAGAGTATGTTTATGTAATATCATAAATACCAATCTCTGGTATTTATGCAGCATAGTATTTACTTGGGCAAGTTGCCACATGCACTAAAGAAGTAAACAAAGAGCCATTCTTTGGAGGGTTAAAAAAGTCTTAAAACGAATCCAATTTTCCTTCATAAGGCACTCCTTGTTATTTTACCTAAAGTGGCTCTTTAAGATATACAGTATGATAAAACACACAATTCCTGGGAGACGTAATTATGGTTCCTAAGAGACTGGTGAATAAACAATCAGGAAAAGAGTGTTTGTTTTCCCTAGGTTTTTCTTAACTATTAATGGAAGGCATTAAAAAAAAATGGGGAGGAATGTGTTGGGTCGATAAACGGCAAGAAAAGCTGAGGAGGACACTTCACTGAACACACAGGGTTTCTGCCTTAAAAGCAGTACTATTTCATTGGATTGTAAATAATCCTATTTTGCAAACGTGTTTGCGGTGGGTGTAAATACCACAGTGCGCTCTTTGTTATATTTACTGTACTGCGTACATCAATGGCTCAGCGCGTGTTCCAAAGTAAAGAGCTCGCCTTGTCTCACGTTACCTTTAAGCATTAACACAAACAACTTCCTTCGAATCAAGGTGACAGAACCTTCTGCATCGTACGAAATGTTCTATCTGACACAAATTCCTCAGAGCGGCGGGGGCCCCGTCTGGCACAGCGCTGAGCCATGGCAACTACTTCTCTAGCAAATCAGGGACTGCAGTGAGCCCAACACAGACACGGACACTGTCAACATGGAAGATGGCTAAAGCAGAATCAGCAGTTCAAGAAAACCTTGCAACCTACGTATCTCAGAGCACAATCAAATGGGACAGTATTGAGTAACATTGGTCTACATGAAGTCACCCGGTGATCTATCACTTAAAAACACACGCTCCCAATGGCGCTGCTCATTTCTCCACATCAGTTCCCTCTCCTGTAAATCAGATTGATGGAACCAAGTCATTTTGTTAGTGAGGAGTGATGGGCTATGGAGTGCCCTCGCTGAAGCACAGCTTCTCACCGCAGGACCTGGGCATGCCCCAGCTCCTGTCACTGCAGCCTTCTAACCTCATGTTAGAAATATCACATTCCTTTAGCAGAGACAAATGGAGACCTTACCTTCCTCCTGTGGCAAGTAGGTGTCAGAGCAATAGATCGCACTGCTGCAGTTAATGTTCATTTCTGATCCACTTGTTTCCTTTAAAAAAAAAAAAAAAACTGCAGAAGTCACAAAATAGCCTATTTTCCTCAAGAAGATCTGAAGTAAATGCTGATGCCATTGGCAGGCTGAAGAGCATACATGGGCTACAGGCTAGTACCTACATGATGGGAGATATTTCGTCTCTTTATCTATCCTGCTCGTATAGATTTGCAAAAATGGTGACAGAAGAAATGTATGCACAAGATGAATCTGGTCAAGCTAGTACTTGTTTCTGTCCTTAGGATTTATTAGAGAATTGAATAAACATACTTGTTGTGGTAATTAACCCCACATAAATCACAAATCCTGTCTTTATAGGGTTTTGTTTGTGCTGCTGTCATTAAGAGCTATTCAGTGTTTCCAAACTGGAGGCAGGCCTGAGGTGAAACCTCAGCAAGCAAAGGGAGAGGATGCACAAAATGGGGGACAAAGCAGGGAGACCCCTCATCACTGGGCTGCTTCCTTGAGGCTCCAGCAATAAAACCCACCAAGCCTGAGCACCTCTGGGCAGTCTCAGCTTGGTAACTATGTTTTTGTCATCTAAGAAAAACAGATTGACCACCAGGCTCTCAACCACCAGGCCCTGATCGTGTGAGGCCCTTTCCCCTCACCCACACAGAGCTCAGGATCTGTCCAGCCCAGTGTGTGGCACATGTGGATACTGCAGTACAAATTGTTCGTGTCAGGCTGGGCTGTTAGCTGTTCCTCAGCCTCTCGATGGTCCCTTCAACGGTCTGCAGAAATCCTGTCATTGATTTCAGCAGGCACGGGATCAGGGTTTGACCTCCCAGATAGCTGCATGGATGCATGGTGGCAGTGCTAACTGCCCTCAGGAACAGTCCCTTATCTTCTTCGCTAGGACCATCCTGCCCTGCGCCTTCCTGCAAACACCACTGGTAAGAGAAGCCTCTCCATAAAGAAATGCCTTCCCTTCTGTAACAAAGCCCTCAAATTAATTAGCGGTGTTGTGATGCCTTCGAAGAAGGTCTGAAGTGACACTGTAATGCTGACTGAGTGGAGTCTGGCAAGTTGCTAGACCTCTTGCTGACATCTGCCATACAGAGCATGCAAATGATCGAGGTTAAGTAATAGCAATGAGGAACAAGACAGTTTCTACGCACAGTTTTGATCACTTTGGTAAGGAGTGGTTGATCAAAGATGCCTCTCAGTTCAGGACACTTCTTACTGGAGGAAGATTACCCAGTGAATAATCTGGAGCCGCCCAGCTAGGAGCCTGCTGGAGGATGAAAATATAATGAGCTCTTGATAGGTCAGTACTGCTTGTGAGACAACAACGCTTTTCCACTCGTGCTATGAACCCATCCTGTCTTCAGGCTACATGGTGAAAAAACGCTCACCCAACAAAGACAGCACAACACAGCAAAATTGAAAACACATTTAGCAATTTGCATACCTTGCATGCCATAGAACACCCCCAAATCCTGGTGGAAATGTGCATAATGTGCCAGACATCTTGAACCCAGGAACTCCCCTCCCCATAATCCCCTGGGACTAAAAAGTTTCTGATTGTACTCCAGCTTCCCCATAAAAGCTTCATTGTTACAGCAGCCCAGCCTTTACCAGGAGTCATGGCATCGGGCCACAGCCTCCAGGGACACTCTCAAGCTGCACAAAACAAGTTTTTCCAAACAGTTTAAGTATTTCCCAGCCCAGACTCTCACATTCTAGTTGTTTGTGCAGGGACAGTAACCCACCAAGCCCTGCCTAAAATACTGGTTGTTTAAACTCCACAGAGACATTTTTACTAACATTCCTTACTGCCGTAACCTCTTGACCAC